TAAAGAATAAAGATTAATAATAAATAATATATCAATCAAAAATGCATTTTTTTATGAAAAGTATATACCATGTATAGCTAGTTCACCAGCAAAAATAAGAAGGCTGAAGATTGGTGTAGTACCTTCAAAAAATTTACCTGTTCGGTCATTGGACAAAGTGCTTTTAACTCCAACAAAAGAAAAAATCATTAAGAGAGCTGAGAGATTAAAACAACGTCATCAAAATAAAGAACATTGTCAAATTTTATTTCAAAATGACTGGTAAGTTAAATTCAACAAATACCAAATAATTGATTTGAATAAATTTTATTAATTTTTTATTTGTTTTTTTTAGTTTACCAGATAGTACACCTATTACTGATGTAGAGGAATTATCTTCATCTTCTACACAAACTGATGTCTTGACCCAAGAAAAAACTACAGTATTATCAAATGAAATTAAAACTGCCGATAAAGAAGTCCAAGTTAATACATTTCATTCCGATTCTCTTTTTAGAAGAAGTATTATGGATTTGATTAGAAATGATGAAGATTTAGTTGCATTAACAGGGATACCCAGCATGGACAAGTTGTTAAAACTTGTCAATATTGGTGAATTTGTGATAAAAAGTTTAAATTATAATATCAATTTTTCTCTTGATGTTCTTCATAGAATAGTGTTAGTATTAATGAAGTTAAAACTAAATACATCTTACAAATGCTTGGCAGTTTTGTTTGGTGTTTGTAAAAGTACTTGTACAAATTACTTTTACGAAACAATTGATTTGTTATATTTAATTTTAAAACCTTTAGTTTTGTGGCCTTCTAAATCAAGTATTTCTAAAAATATTCCTAAATGTTTCATAAAGTTCACAAGTACTAGGGTCGTAGTTGATGGAACAGAAACTCCTATCGAAGTTCCAAAATGTTTGTCATGTCGAATTAGAACTTATTCTTTTTATAAAGGTAAACATACTATTAAATTTATGGTAGGCATTTCTCCAGATGGCCTAATAACTTTTGTTAGTGATGTGTATGGTGGCAAAGCATCTGACAAACATATATTTGTAGAAAGTAATATTTTAGAAAAGTGTGATATAGGT